CGCGCCAGCACAAAATGAATACAAAAGCTGCAAGTGACCTTGAAATTCGTTTTAATATGAACTTAAATCAAAACATAAAGTGAGCCATGCTTGAGCGCGATTGTGTACAATTCAGCCGATGCCGAGTTCATGTTTTCAGCTTTTCCTTTCGATAACTGCTATTCTAATATTATCCTAACACAATAAAAAGAACTGATAATTTTAGTCGATATAAATGAAGTGGACCACCTTATGAGAAATTAAGATCTGATTTTAGTACAGGTTAAGCACAAATACTTATAGTAATGGACGGTTTGATTAGCGTAAAGCGTTAAAGAACCAAAGCCAGCATGCTAACAATGAACAAACAATACAAAATTCCGATAAAGGGAGTGTGATATTGAAAAGTTGTTTATTTGTTCACTTTGTAATGGCGATGAGTGCTGATTGTGCTGTATCAAGTCGAAAGTGCGCTAATTAAGCTAGGAGGATACGACCAAGGCCGAGATGTGCAGTTTTTTTGTTTGCTTTGAAGCTTTTACTGTTTGACAGCGCAGGAGCAAGGGAGAGAGAGAAATAAATGTGAGGCAGTTTTAATTTGCCGTTCATTCGATGTTGAATGCGTCGCCAATGCGATTGATGTATTTGTCTCTTTGTCAATTCGTTTGTCTGGCACTGCTGTTTTCATCGAAAACGAGTATTCGTGCCTCATCTGTCATAAAAGCGAACTTTTCAAATTTAACTTCGTCATTCTCGACATTGTCGATATTGCGCCGTTGTGTTGTTGCTGATTTGTGGATGCTGGCGATGATGATGACGCTGTTTGTTGCTTGTTATGTCGAGTTTTTGGTTTTGTTTCTGCTGCTGTTTTGCAGTTTTTTTCTATTCAACATTTTCGTGTTGTATGTACTTATTTCGTTTTTACAATTCATAACCGTCTGTGTTGAACATATTCGCGGCATCTGTGCGCCGCCTGCATCTCCTTGGAGCGGTGGATGTGATTTTTCGCAAGTCATCGAGTGACTGCGCGCGCACGCCTTGTCTCTGCAACATTTGGGAAACTCATCAGGCGCAGCCGGCGGAGCGCGTACTGTAGCGAATGGTTATTTGCCATTGAAACTCGCTTACAAGGCTATGTACTCGCATGACCAGAGATTTATTGAATTCGCCCGTGTTAAAACCTAATATTGAACTTGTGCTTTGAATTTTTTCTACGGTTGTTGTTATTTCGTAATTTTACGATTTGTGATTTTTTCTAAGCGCCACATTGAAGCCATATCTAAGCAATTCTATATACCTACATATATATTGCATTGGGCGGTTGTATTAAGGAATATACATATGTATGTATTTTATATTTATTCTCTTTCGGTGAGCTGTTTTTCATGGCGGTTTAAATATATATGTACATACATATCGTCACATAAAATTAAAAAATCCATAAGTTACATTTTATAAATTTTACAGGAGAAGCAAAAAACCAAATCGAAGCATGTTTTATTCGAAATATAACAAAAGAAAAACTAATTAAGAAGAAAACACACAATGTCATGGCATGCCATATTGTTTATTATTGCTCTAAAGGCTTAAGTTACTGTTTTGGTTGGCAAATTTGTTTTGTTTGTAGCAAGAATCTGAATTTTTTGTAACTTAGCGCTGTTTTGATTTCATGTGACGATATGCATATTTAGAGCTTTTTATTCAAAAGTTAAAAGTTAATCAAACTTTGGTGCATACATATAGTGCATTGAAGTATATACATACTGGAATTATAAATAAAAATTTAATTGCATAATATTTAATATCATAAAATTAAGTGAACGGCAATGTCATCTCAACTTACAGATTTATTTGATTACTTTCAAAAGAATATTTAATCCCTACCCACGCAGTAATACTTAATCTGATTTAGTATGCCTACCGATAGACTCAGAATTTCATTCGCTTCCCACCTCTGTAAGGTTTGTCTAACGATTTTTATCATAGAAGGTTTCAACATTTCTTATGGACCAGCAGATCGTCGAGTACTAATGACGAAACGTGGGTTAATAAATATGACGTCAAAACTGTTCAACAATCTGACGATTGGCGCTTCAAAAATGAGCCGAAAGCGAAGAAAAGCAATTTTCACTGAACGCATTAAAGGCCATCCCAGCCGAAGCATATAACAAGCGTATGGAAAATTGGTTTAAGCCTTGGCATACTTTCATTGGCTCAGGAGCATATTTGGAAAGCGATAATGAAATATTAAAATACGTGAAAATTTTTTCTTTTTTGGACTGGTCACATTTAATCAGATTGTTTTAATAAATAGAATATAATAAATTTGCCACGAAATTTTTAACACCCAGAAGGATATGCCAGATACCCTATAAAGTATATATGCAAATGACCTTTCTCATAAAGTTAGTCAATTTAGCCGTATCCATCTGTCGGACTATGTGGATTATTATCAAAGGCAACGGTAGATACAATTTTCGAAACTGGTCAGATCGGATTTTTATAGCATATAGTTGCCATTCAAACTGACCGATCAAAATCAAGATCAAGATCTTTTTTTATACCATATATACCTACATATATTAAAGTTTCGGTGCAGCCGAAGTTAACAGGTTTTCTGATTTTTAATATACATATGCCAATTTTTTCTTTCCAAATAAACACTTTACGATTTCACACGAAAATATCGAACAATGCCTTCAATAATTCTTCTAGTACTTAAGCTTACTGAAGAAGTTTTATTAGATTACTCCGATTCCATCGCTTTAGAGTAATATATGAAATAGAATTTATTTGAAAAATAAATTGACTACATTTCACTATATTGTATCACTAAAAAACTCTCTAAAACCTAAATTTTTTGAACACAATTATTTTGAATGAATATCCTTCTCAATTATTACTTGAGCATAGTTAAAAAATTGTAAGACACGAAAGCAGCGCAAAAGCTGGAAAGTTGCAACTTATTTATAATCCATTTTTGTTTAATTTGTCAACGATTTCAACACTCTATTACTTGAATTGATCCGATAATATCAAAAAAAAAATTATATTGTTAAAGTGCTTGAAATATACTATCTTCAGCGGCAGTAACCAAACAAAAAACTCGGAATCATATTCTATATGGTCAATATATCATTTATCTGTACTTCAATCGTTAGTTGTCCAAGCGAAATGCATTAAAGGAAACCGTTAAAATGATAACCGATATTATACTTATATAGTTAAAGCCATATTACACATGTAGCGCGAAATGTAAATAAAAGTTTATAAACGGGCTTTTTACTCTCTTTCGGTTCCTTATCTTTTAACACGCAGTATAATTAATTCTTCAACGCATTTCGTTAATGGCTTTCTAGTTTATGGATAGACCGATGGTCATGAAAAAATGCATGGGGGAATACACATAAATGTACATAACATATCTACATACACGTGTACAATTGTGCTTATGCGGTATTTTCATCACCAGTAGCATAGTCTATTTTTCCAGTAGCCAGCTGATAATTGCATTTGTGACACAGGCAGAAAACTGAGTTAATTGTGTCACAACGCATATATATTCTTAATTACTGTCTTTATGCTCACATGTTTAGATATAAGCATTGATGAGGTTTGTCCTCACATGTATGTTGACATGTCGCTCAGCTATTATTTTCAGTCATGAAAACCCATAATCGTACTTAAATAGATTAAGATACTTGCTATTAGCACTGCCAACAAAATGTACCATATTCAAGTATAAAATTCAATTTTCTTCGAAAAAATGCTTTGGAGTAAACTTTTGCATTTAAGCATAATTATTAAATTTTTTTTTTTGTAATCAAACTTAAAGAAGCTTATATTACTACCGATATTTTCTTTTGTCCATCACAGAAAAGCACTTGGCCCCAAAAACATCGGTTTTACACCTTGCCGCAGCAAACTTTCCCTGCTATCTGAGATGAAATGTCAATGTTTAGTCGATTATGCAGATGATGAATATCAAATGAATGTTCAACAAGTAATAAGCAATGAATAGCCTCCAGAGAACAACTAGCAACCGTTTGAAGGAGATAAATACTTATATGCCTTCGGGCACAACCATTTCGTACAACAACTTTGCAGCAGCACGCTGGCAACTACTGTCGAACTAATGCAACACACACAGTTCCACAATCGCGCACAAGCGGCGATGACACCGACCGAGTGACGGATGAGCCGTGTCATTCAATGTTAATGTTGTGACATTTATCATCGACTCGTGTCCAAGTACATGCATACCTCACGAGCGCGTAGGTATGTGTGCGTAATAGGAACCTGATTATCGTTCTGCGACGAGGCTGGCGCTGACTCCGAACGCTATCTAAATTATTTGACATTTGAGCATTTGACTCTTTCGCTGCTTAGCCGGCCAACAGTGCAAGTTCAAGAACCCACATTCCACGCAGACGCTATTCACTTTGTTAAAAATGAGCTACACTTCAACTCAAAAATATGTGTTTGTATGAATATATGCATATGTATATATACATAATTGAATTATTAATAGAGGCGTGTGGCTTAGTGTGATGTTGGCCAGCGTTTAAATATATTTTTATCCCACGGGAGTCATTTACCATATTTTAAAGAAACAATTAGTAAGGCATGTCATAATAAAATGAAATTGAAACTCTCAGTTTCTTTTTTTTTTTACTCAAGCGCGGTAAGTGCAGGTAATTAAGTGGAACACATTTATTATTATTTATAGTATGAAATCTCATCTAAACGACCTATGGTATATCTTGTATTTGAATAGTAAGTGACGAAAGACACTCGTGCCACTGTGCAGCGCACGCACTCTGAAACTTGAAGTTCTCTTACGACATCTCTTGATCTATTTTAATATTACTTTGAACGTGAATATATTTGATTAATGACTGTTTAAACTGTCACTTAATTTTAAGTGTAAATGAATTTTAGTTCGGTTTTGAGCGCACCTTAAGCAATTGTATGAGGAACTACTCGCAAACATTGTAAATATTTTTTTATTATGCACTCACCAACGCCCGCCACATGTATTTTTTTCATCCACGGATATATGATTCTTTCGCCATCTGTTGTTTCTCCCATTAGATCGTCGTCTGAATCCGAATCGGCCAAATCATCATCATTTTCATTTGAACCCAATTCGTCCGGCGATCTGTCCAACATAAGACGATCCTCCTCCAACATATCATCCTTAAAATAAAAAAAATAATAATAATTAAAAACTTTTCACTCCAACTAAACAAAAAAAATGCATGTTCGTTTCGTAAACTTACATTTTCCGATCCAGTATCATCACAGCGTAATCTCATACCCAGCTCTTGCAGTTGTTGTCCGGCTGGTGCTGCTTCCTCGATGCGCTTTTCCAATTTGAGACCTTTAAAGAAATACTATTAGTTATCTAGTTTACTTCATTATATGCTTTATAAAGCAATATGAACACATATAATATATATTCCTAAGATATATAACTATAGCATGAGATTCAAGTACTGTGATCAAAAACTAAAGACGAGCGAAGTCGAGTATGAAGTTGTCAGAATTTAAGGAGAGTTTTCCTGATTTTACCGCTATTTGTCCACATAATAACAATATTTAAGCTAAAATTTATGGAAGCTTAACAATTAATTTCTTATATTCATTTTTCAACATTGAGAGATTTATGTTCTTTTTAAATAAATAAATATATATCAGATAGGATTTCGCTGTTTTACAGGCATAACAAAAAGTTAAGGTTTTCAAATTTGGAGAAAGAGTATTTCCAGCTTATATACTATATGTGAACTTAGAGTGTAATTAGCCTCAATAGGTTGGACTGCAAGTTGAACGTTATCGTTTTAAATAAATAGAAAATATATATACAAGCAAAATCAAAAAGCATATAGCCTAAAAATCTTATTTTGGATAGAATTGGTAATTTTAATAATTTCAATCAGCGTTAAACACTGCAGATACATTCGTTCGACAGTCGTAGCTCTACTCTTCTTTAAATATGTTTATAAATGCCTCTTTGAAAAAAAAATTTAAAAAAGGCTTCAAGTAGACGCTTAATTTACAGAATTTAATGTACTTTAATAATCGGCAATTGGTTTTGATAAATTTTTGACTCCCTTGTTCCCTGAGTCGATATCCAGAAAGACCTCCATAAAAAGGTGACTGGCTGTGAGAAAGATTTTTCTGTTTAAAATTATTAAGAATCAAATTCCAAAACCAAAAAAAGTTATTATTAATATCGATTAACACAGCTAATGATTGAAGAACTAATCAAAGTTTTGATTTAAAACAAAATGGTGGCTTCGCAAAACAAAAACATCTTGTTTGGTGAAAATATTAACAAAGTGGTTTGAAAAAATTTTATACCTGCAATCATTATCTGAGAAGTATATCTAAGAAGGTCGTGTGAAAATTGCAAGTTGATTGGTCCAGCCGTAGAAAATTTTCCTCACCGACACTGAAAACAGTGTTTTGATAAAACCACGTTAAAAGTTTTGAGAGTCGATTACACTAAGCTAAGAAATCATTTGCCGTATTAACTGCAAAATTTCGAAGAATATTATTAGATATATGTGCATTTGATACATAAGTACATTGAAATTCTTAAGTGGATATAACCTATTAAAGGAATCGTAAGATAGAGCCAAAGATCACCAAGAATTAATTGTTTGTCAAGTTACCGCTTCTGATGGTAAATGGGTAGACAGTGAATTAGTAATACAGTGAAACCTCATTTAGAAGAAACTCCATATATACTAAGCTACCTGTTATTAACTCATCGACACAAATGAAGCAATACAAGGTATTTGGAAATGTCTTCAAATATACAATTAGATATAATCTGACCAAAAAAGTTGCATTTCTTATTATTTTTACACAGTTAAAACCTTAATGCAGAACAAAAGCTTTTCCTGGAAGTTCGCCCCACTAAAGACATCGCTAAACCTACGAGCTTGTACATAATAGAATTTACCGCTTCTCATACCATTAATTATAGGTTTCTTTGGCAATTTTAATATATTTCATCTATTAAATTACTGCGAGACACTTGGAGAACTTCTACACCTTTTGCTTCACTTTTTGATCTTCAGGAAAGTACAAGTATATTCAAAAATTTCATTTAACTACCTTATTTCTGTATGCTAGGAAACGAATCTTGTCTACCATATGTGCTTACCTAATTCTTGAAGCCCCAGTGCAGTGTTGGACGGAGGTTCCGTCGAAGTGCATTGCAGGGGTATATCCATCATTTGGGAGTGTGGCGAATGACCTTGTGAATGAGCACTGCCGACACTGCCATTTGTACCATAATAACCATTATAATATCCATTTGAGGTGAGTGAAGCGCTAATTCCGTTCGGCGTATTTACCGGCGGTGGATAAACACCATTCCCCAACGGTGCAATAGGTTCTGAGTGCACCGCTCCAGCCGATATGAATTCCGGCGGACCAGAATGCATCGCAGCCGCATGATGACCATAGTAACCGAGACTTTGGTGGTGATGATGAGTGGGTGTAGGAGCATAATTCGTATAACCGTTATTGTGATGGTGACCTGAGAGTGCGCTATTTGTATGGGCATGCGGGTGCGGCGGATGGTGGTTAGCGGCAGAATGATGAACAGCGGCTGCCATATAATCATTGACCATGTCGGCAGGGTGAGTAGCATGAGGATGCGTCGGCATGCTAGGTGGCAAACCGCCGCCCATAGTTGCACCCATTGCCGACATATGTCCCGTCGTGGCCGTCATAGAGTAGTGCCCATTATAATGGTGATAGTCGTCGGCAACGGGGGGAAATTTCGGGTCTAAGCCATTACCCATACCCATCGGGCTTTGAACGTGATGCGGCGCGTGTGGGTAACCCATTAGAAATGAGCTCATAGTGACACAGAATTACAGAATAATTTTTATGTGTTTTTTTTTTGTTGTTTTTTAATTTGTCTGAGACTTAATTTAAGGACCTGTTGTTTTCTTATTGGCGAGGAGATAATAACTTGTATAATGAATTGTATTGATTTTTTTTTTAAATTGTTGTGCACGATTTTCATTAAACAAATACACAGCACATTTGGTAGCTTATATAAACAATTAATAAATACATATTTATTATTTCATTTCATTTAAAAATTTTTTGGTTTAAACAAAAATATTTTTTTTCCCATAAATTTATCATTGCGTATTTAATGTGCTACAATTCTTTTCTAGGTATTTAGAATTTAGCTTCTTTCAACACACTTATTTCACTTTTCCACGATTCACTACATTATTTTGCAACGCGCACGGATATCTATGTTCATATATTCGTTATTATATTTAGTATGTTTTTGACTATGAAGTCATTTTCGAGAAATTCGTTTAGACGCGTCGGTAGTGTACAATTCGCACTCAAAAGCAATTCCAATTTTAAATAAATAATCCAAATATTCCAAGTGTCGCTGTTGGCGACCAAACTTAAAAGCCCGCTTTCAAATACGCGTACGGTCCGATTCCTACGTTCCGTTCGGTCTGTTCATGACGAGCCGTTCTTTTGTTGTGTATAACTCGCAGCGACTCGACAACCAGCGAACCTGTTCCCCTTGTCTGTCATTCAGTCAGCCGTTTGCGCTTAATCGTTGTTGTCCAACAGTATTTGTCTACAGTCCGACTTCGTTCGACTCACATTTAAATTTTGCCGTAAAACTCGATTTACTGGTTTCCACACAGAACACACTTACAAACATTCAAGGGTAGTGCTGTGCGGCGGTGTGAGCGTCTCGAATTAAACGTTATGGTTCTGCCCACACATATGTAACTGTCCGCAAAGGAGAAGCCATAGCTGTGCTATTGTTCACAATGCTGTTGTTGGCTTTTGTATATGTACGCCATTTTTTCCACCACCATGACACAGCAATAAGAGCCTCTCTGTGGAGGAAACGGGAAAGCAAGCGCTGTACGAATGAAACTGCAAATGTTTAACACACCTCTATTCGCACTATACTCAGGGGAGAGAAAATCTATTACAATCTAACAGTGCGACCAAGTGGTAAGTTTAGTGTATACATTTATTTTCCGACTTAATAACATATTATATTCTATTAGCTATAAATTTAGCCTTCAACCCACAAGTATAAAATTTGTGCAGAGCTTTTTAGAGCATTATAAACTCATGCAAAGTGACGAAATTTAGTATATTATTAGTTTCTAAGTGACGTTTCGGCCATTTTTTATATATATGTAGGTCCGTACTTCTTTCGAAATGAAGCTGGTGACACCGTTACTGTCAATGGAGAGCGGTATAGATCGATTATAAACAACTTTTTGTTGCCGCAATTGGAAGAAGTTGATCTTGACAACATCTTGTTCCAACAAGATGCCCACACAGCACGTGCAACTACCAAATTATTGAAAGAAAGAAAGTGTGACATTGAATGGCTGCGGTTAAACACCATTAGACAACTTCTTGTGTGGTTACTTAAAGTCATTGGTCTTTACCATTAAACTAGACTCTCTAGCAGCTTTAGAAGTCAATATTGAACGAGCATTTCATGACATATGACTTAATTTAGTGGAAAAAGTACTCGAAAATTGGGTTCATCGAATTCGTTCCTGCAAAAAAAAGTCGTCAAGGCTATTTGAATGGTGTTATATTTAGAACTTAATTGTATCGATTGTACTTCACGGTAAATAAAAAGCTTTTGAGTTTCCTCTACAATAAGTGTGTGGTTTATTTTAAATTGAAAAAAAATCATATAACTCTTATTGAAAAACCCTTTATAAGGAATATTAGGCTCAGACTAACGTCTAGCCCAATTTTATTCATATTTAGCGAATAAAGTCGTAAATCACTAATTGCATACATTTGTGAATTACTCAAGATTACTTGTTTCTGAGCAATTTTATGAATATTACTCACACAATGTCGGACATTTTTGTCATAAAGTCTACTTGAATAACGAAAGCATTATATATAGTATATGCGCGCTGGTGTAATTCGTAGACCGCTTTCACATGAATTCTCTATTTTTATCCATTTTTGGCATCATGACATAATATTATTAGAAAAACTTTCTCTCTGAATTTCAGTAAGAACTCACATATTGACTGATATATGCGTTATGAAGTCAGTCGGATGTTCGAAAATCTTTATCAATTTTTAGCATCATGATTTTATTATAATATTTATGCTATAAATGATTTATGATATAACTATTGTTTACATTAACTTTGATCACAACAATATCTTTGGTACTTAAATTGTACTTTATAGAAAAAAATATTTTGGTTAAATAAAAATTATTTCGCTTAGAAGCATGCTGCAGAAATATAGTACATAATGAATACAGCATAATTCTAATAGTTACAAAAAGTTTTATAAATATATGAAATAAAAAAAACGGCCAGGGCCAGGGTTCTTTAATAACCTTTAAATTTATTCACCTTGATAAAAAAAATGGTTTTGTTTTCTTATTTGCACATTATTTGTTTGATTCCACTTCAGATGCACCATTTAAATTCTCCGATATTTTAAAATGCCATTCTAAAGTAGAGAAACAAAATTTACCTTGTTAAAAAAAATGCCACCTAATATACAACGGCCCTTATAATTTATTTACTTCTTATTTTTTTAGTATTCATCTCTTTCGCCCCACTGTACAAACATACCCACTTTTTGTTTGTTCACGTATGTAATAGATTGCCAAAAACTCTTTGCCCATCAGCACTCTGCCTTTCTGTCGAATTTGATTTATGCTTGTTTATGAACGTTGCCTTTAATGGCGCATGAACAGAACTCGTCAATTCATCAAGCTCCTCCCACAGCAGCGTAGTGGTACACATTGTGTTGAAAAACTCATGCTCAAGATTCTTGTCTTCGCAACTAACATAACACGTACGAAGTGTCAGACTGAAAATAAAAAGTAAAATGTATTTTAAATATTTAGAAAAATCGATGAAAAGAGATTTCGCATGCGAATGCCGTAAGCATGAAAGATGCAATAATTCTCTATGTACATATGCATAACGATACATTCATACATATTAACTCAATAGTTGTGCATGTGCGTATGTATAAACCTGCAGACATTGGGTTTGCTGCATCGCAATTGTTTTGCTTGTCTACTTCGTTTTCATTCTGATTACGATTTTGGTTTTCAATTTCGTATTACTTTTCAAATGTGTATTGTATTTGTTGGCGTTTTTAATTTTTTTGCTACCGTTCAGAAGCATGCTGACTTGCAACAAATTGTCGATGAATAAAACCGCGCGCGGTTCATTATTATTACACGCCGCTTGCTGACGTTGTTATTGTTAATTTCTTGACTCTATATAAATTTACATACATTGTATTGCATATGACTGCGTATGTGTAACTTTGTGTTGTTGAAACGTGGCGTCCGACTTGACTGCTGTCGCTACTGCGTTTGCTTTTACGCGCATTACTATTTCTGCTTCTTCTGCAACTATAACTGATGTGATGACATGCAACTTTCTTAGCAATTGTATTGTAAATCGATGCGCCATAATATTGTCTTTGTATAGGATCTTTACAATACTTAAACATAACTGTGTAATGCCCAATTTAAAGTCATTAGGGTACGTAATTGATTGCACTTGTTTGGTTTTTGCGTAATGCTTTTGTCACGATTTATGAAATTTGTAAAATTTAAATTATTCGTAAATAAAATTTAATGTAATGGAAAGTACTTATTAATTTATTACTATTTTTTATTGACATTAGGTAAAATTAGTGTTTAGAAATTTTTAGATTACATCTTTGGTAATTATTTGGATCTGCTTTTCCAGAATTGACAGAAAGTTGTTGGCTGTCTGGTAGCAATCTTCAAAATACAAACATAATTGTGAACATTTGTGACACTAAAAAACTTTCACTAAAGTTAGGCGGAATATAATGTTCCCAATTGATATATTGATCCCAATTCGATAGAAAAAGAAAATGGCTATGATGTTCCGCTATGTTTAGAGCTGGAATATAGCCTAACAACCTAGACCACTTTTTCAAACAATTTAAAATCAAAATGATAGATAATAATTATTATTATAATATCTAATAATTATATTATAATAATTTTATTATTTAAATACTTTTAATGCATCATATATGTATGCATATTATCATATTTATAACTTAGAAATTTATTAAAAGAAACAATTTAAAAAAATTTATTTACATTTGCATATCGATTTTATTCACATAAAATCTCAATATATCCTTATTTGTGCCAAAATAGTTATAAAAGTCATGTAACTGGAAATCTTCAGGGCTTAAACACCGGAAGACTTCGCTTGTAATTTCAATCGTTAGCAAATAGATATACAATTTTTTTAGGGTTTACAAGTTTATTAATGAAAACAAATAATATTTGTGATAATGTTCATATATTTTTGTATATTCTTCGAAAAGTTTAAGTTGATTCACAAAGAGTTTCGGAGATATGAGCGTATTTGTACGAATTCTTTAACTTAATTTTAACTTTGAACGCGTTTTTATCGAAACACTATCAGAGCCGGTGAGAAAAAGTTGTCCTAAACGGCTGGATCCATCGATTTTTCACATGACCTTCTCAGATATATTTGTCAGGCTTTTTTAAGCCACTTTGAAGTGTAAATTGCTTACAATAATCGTTTTTTTTTTCGAAAAAGCCAAAATTTTGTCAAAAATCTAAATGTTCTCTAGTTCTTCCATCATTACCTGGATTTATGCATTATTATAACAATTTAGTTGGTTTTAGGATTTAAGACAAGCTTAAACAGAAAATTTTTCACATTTTTTCGGAGGTCCTCCTGGAGATCTGCCACCTAAACAAGGGTGTAAAGTGATGATGAATAATTTTTTTTAACTTCCCGCTAAGAAAATGGAAAATTTTCTAAAAATCGGGAAGATATTGGTTTCACCCCATTTTGCAAAAATCGAGTTCTCAACAGATATCGACGTTCTGAGGGTCGAGGAAGCTTCCCCGAACATTTCTATGATGATGTCCGTATGTCTGTATGTATGTGTGGATGTATGTGTGTGTGTGTGGATGTATGTGACCCCCTTATAACTATTAAACTGCTCAACCGATTTGAATAAACTAAACGGCATTCCAAAGGGTTTTATTGCACTTGAATTTCGTGTAAGTTTGGACCCAATCGGACCAGTAGATTTCGAGAAATCTCAAAAATAAAAATTTTGAAAAATCGTTTTTTTCGAATTTTTTCCAAACGACTTGACCGATCGACACCAAAAACTAATCAGTTCTAAACCTTGAAGAAACACATCGTTTGCCGCAAACCGGGTCGAAATCGGTTGATTTACTTGCTAGATATCGAAAACGAAAAATTTCGAAGAGCTCAAAAGCAGTGAAAAAAGCGAAATTTGAACGTTAGCGTATGAAATTAGAGGGAAGTTGCAGGGATGGCCCTTGAGGCCAACCGTTTTCCACATTTTTTTAAATGAAAGCCACAGCGAAAAATCAGATGCTCCCAAAAAAGAACAATTAAGTGTTAGAAGAGTCCTTATAACTTTCATGAAAATAATATCAATAAATGTATATTCAAGCAAGATAACCATATATCAATGGTTACTGTGGTTTCGAGACCTCAAGTCGAAGTTCATCGTCCTTAATGGCAGCTTTTAGCCCAGATC